GATTCAAGTATCATTAGCTTGGCCTTTAAAGCTGGGTTATAGCCAAGTTGTAAAAAACAAGAATATGGAAGCAACTGTTTTTTTAAAAAAATACCTCCAGAAGTAGTATCGCTATACTTGCAAGTCATAGCACAGAACTGCCGTCCCGAAAGCAAGGGAATGGTGTGTTGTACATTGGCAGGGGTCAGGATCTCTTCAGGTGATGACAGTGGGGTGGCACGAGTCAAGACAGTGGCCACCCCCATGCAGCTGAAATCAACATTTTTACCTGTTTGATCCTTCCTGCAGGCAGCTCCAAGTGAAGCTATTTAAGTCAGTTTCAAAACAGTGACTTTGAGAAGTGCCAAGTGATGTTGGACTTGTACGGAAGATGCTTCTTTACCAGAGAACCTGTTTCTTTGCCTGCAGCACAGGATCCACTTTCCTTGTACGGAGGAAGAGAGAGCAACTAGCAGAGCTTCTGCAGGCAACCCCAGTGGACCTGGGCCCTGGCAGGTTCTGCTGTTGTTTGGGCAGAATCGGTTCTGGGCTCCGGGCGGCCTCTGAACTTTGGGATGCTGGGAAGGATTGCCTTCAAAAATAAGTGGTGGCAGGTCCAAAGAAATGGATGGGACAGAAGCTCAATTTGGCTGAATTCAAATCTGAATTAAATTTAATGAATAATCTTGTATCACATGTATGTAATTTTCCCGTTCTGACGCATTCACGTCTCTGCTGCCAGAAGAATTCTAAGAAAAAAACTCTGGATTGGGAATGGAGCAGTTTGTGCCCTTTCCCCCCGCCCCGCCTGCAACGCGGCTTTCAGAAAGGATCTCCTGCAGACAGTTGCTGCCTGTTGGGTCCCCGAAAGCTACGGTGAGGTAACCGGTCTTCCCAGAGAGCCTGCAGCTCTCCCCTTAGCTGGAAACACCAAACCCTCACGTCCTTGCCAAACCTCTAACAACCGTGCCTGACACAGCCTGACATGGGAACGCTCTCTGTCCTTTCATTCATGGGCTTCCAGCACAGGGTGTCTTGTGTACTCTCGTTTTGCAGAAAAACCCAACAAAAGGCCACCCACTCACAGGGATCCCCTACAAAGTTGCTTCTTTTTTAAGTCACATTCAATTTGGCCATCACTCTTTTGACGCATGCAACCACCACCGTGTCTCTCAAAGTGTGAGAACCGCAAGGTCAGAGGGTGCAAGAGACTTAAAACATGGTGGAAATCTTTTGGTCTCTTTCCTGTTGGAAAGCTAATGCTTCTTCTGGGAGCTCAAATAATCAACCGTAAAAATGGCAACAAGCCAGTATTAATGGGTGGGCCAGTCATCCCAACAGCTCTGACATCCTGGCCTTTCCCCATCCAATCCATGGGCTGCATGACTTTTCAAGTACCAGCATCGTGGAAGGAATCACTCAGGCAAATTGTACACAGAGCCAACCCAAGAGGGGGCCCTTCCTTTCCAATCTCAGAAGCAATAAATAATGGCAGCTGCTTTGTCTTTCTTGTGTTGAGCCCTTGCCCCAGCAGGTGTCTTCCTCCTGGCCTCAAGCAGATGGGAAGTGGGAGTCTCAGAGCTCCGTGATATGCATGGGGTACCCGGAGGGAGAGTGTGCCGACACTTGAGTGCTCAAGCGCCTGATATGACAGGTGTGGCAGAGCAGGTGTCTCTCCAGTGGATAGCATCGGCGGCCCTCCTCATCATTCAGCTGGAGTCCACAATCCTAAGAGAAAGAAGAGCAGCCTGTCAACTCATGAAATATTTCTATGGTCTTTTTGGAGCTGCCAACAGAAAGGGAGGGGGGAGCAGTGGGCAACTTGTATTCCATAAATGTTTTCAGAGATAGTAACTAGGTGACCAAAGTTTCTGCCATGCAAAATTCTAACTGGAGAGTATGATGGATGACTCTGGGCTATGGAGGTGTCCCATTGGAAAATATGAATTATGATACACCCAGGGGATGGGGGGAAACCAAGGTCAAGGGCGACAATGAATGATGTGCCTCAGAGTCGGCTAGCTGTCTGGGCTCCACCAGTTACCCCCCTTTAAATCATGAATCATAAACTCTTCTTTAAGCTTTGGAAGGTGGCTCAAGACTCATGATTTAAATGGGGGTAACTGCTGGATCCCTGACACAGCCATCTGTTAGTGGCCAGTGGACTTAGGATATCTGAAGTAAGCTTCAGGGAGACATTACAATGAGTACAGATTCCTACGGAGATTCCCAAGTCATCCAGCATACCAGGAATATGCTGCCACCCACCACCCTTTTGAATCCTTACTTTTCCCGGAGGGAGGGTGTGTCCTATAGTGCTCCCTCCCTCCAACTGGGCTGCCTTAGCGGCTCTTGAGGTTTACCTCGCAGTGGTAACACTCCACATGGTAGTCCCTGTCCATTGACACCACCCGGATGGTCTCTTCAGAACCCTGGGTTGGACGGAGAGCAAAAGAGGGTGAATATTGGGGACATGCCCATCACTGGCTTTCAAGGAGAACAGGTACACTTTGAAACCTCCCTCTGTAACTATATAAATCCCCGCTTGTTCTGTAAGTGTCACAATGAAACGTTTTCCATTTCCCAAATATTTGACTTCCTTCCTTGCAAAATTAAGTGCAGAAATGATGGTTCCTGAAGATAGCAAGAGCATTTAGACTTATATACCGCTTCACGGGGCTTTCCAGCCCCCTCTAAGTGGTTTACAGAGTCAGCCTCTTGCCCCCAACAATCAGGGTCCTCATTTTACTGACCTCGGAAGGATGGAAGGCTGAGTCAACTTTGAGCCTGGTGAGAATCGAACTGCTGAACTGCAGTCAGCAGAAGTAGCCTGCAGTACTGCATTCTAACCACTGTGCTACCACGGCTCATATACTTTCTCTGCCAAATTTGGGCTTGGTTCTATATCTATGGTAAGAAAGACAGGAGCCCATATCCACAGAGTAGAGAAAAGAAAGACTTCTGGAATCTCATATAGGTCAGACATTGAGAACTGCTGAGCCTGCCCACTCAAGAGGGCAGGTGGATCCCTTTGGACGGCTTCAGCATGTGCCAACACAGCTGACTGGGTCAATGCCTGATGGAAACCAAGCCAGTGAACTTCCCTGTGCCAGAGAAGGCAAAGTGCCTGCAGCAAATGGCTCAGTTTAATGGGCATGGAAAGTCTTTCTAGCAGCTTGTACCCCAAAAAAGGTACCTCTTTGATATATACTGTATGAGCATTATGGGTGTATATGAGAAAGTGAGATAGTTAGAGTGAGAGTGCTGAGAGATAGATAGATAGATAGATAGATAGATAGATAGATAGATGATAGATAGATAGATAGATAGATAGATAGATAGATAGATAGATAGATAGATACATGATAGATAGATAGATATAGATAGATAGACAAAAATAACCAGACTGACAGAAAGATATAGAGAGAGACAAGACAGACAGACAGACAGAGACAAAAGAGATAAGCAGACAGACTGATAGAGAAGAGAGAGAGGGGAAGAGAGAGAAAAGAGAGGAAGGGAGAAGCAAGCAGACAGAAATCAAAAGTCAAAGCAATTTAATTACTAGGACTGGAGCATGGTGAGAACTCAGCTGCACAGGCAAAAAGTTGCGTTTGTAGCCAGCCCATAATGGCTCCTGTGCCGAGGCCAAAGTATTAATCCAATGACAAAGAAAATCATACCTGGACTGGCAAAATAGGCTGGTTACAGGAAGCACACTTGGGTGCAAAAACCCTAGATTTGAGAGGGGGGAAAAGAAGTTATATTTTTCTTGAGAAGCAAAGAAAGAGAATGGTAGGTTGCATTTTAACAACTGAGAGCAAACAAGGTTAGCTAATCCCAACTCCATCCCATGATTGTGTTGCATTTTTTTTTACACCACAACGGTATGAAATCTAAATTCAGCTATGGATTTAAGAATATCCCTCCTTCTATTCAAAGCAGGGCAGCTGAACAAAAAGATGATCCCATTAACCTCAGATAATTACCCCAACTGAATGGCTTCCATCTAGTGAGACCTATGTGGTCCCCGTGTGCCATCCCTTTAGGAGGCAGGATTTAATTCATCTCCAAATGTCACTGATGGAAATGTTTAAAAGAAAAAAGAAAATAGCCGTAATCTCCTTTCAGTGTAGCAACGGTTCCTATTACATTTTCAACACAACGTACAGAAATGTTGACCACTAGATCGCCTTGCTGTCAGTCCTTAACTGGACTAGATCCTGGAGACAGCAGTCAACCCTTCCTTCCTCAAGACCTGAGCCTGGGCTCCCCACTTTCTCCTTTTGCCCTGCAGAGCTCTGCATTCTCACGTGTGATAGTCTTTGACACAGTAAATGTTGTTCTCCATATCTACAGTGAAGGGTATGCCATCCAGACATTCATTGCACACCACACAGCGGAAACAGCCAGGATGGTATGACTTCCCAAGAGCTTGCAAAATCTGAAAAAGAAGCACAGGTCACAAATTATGCAAAGTCTCTTCCTGCTGTCTATAATTCGTTTCATGCCTCAAGAAACAGCAAATGGTTGGGCTTGGGGAAATCATTCGGATTGCTAGCTAGGAATGACCGCTGGAGTAACAACTGGCCCTCCTGAGAAGCCTCACTCTGATGAGGCTTCTCTTGCTTCCTGCAGCACAATACGGCGGTTGCTTGCCTTTACCTACCTCTCTCTCTCTCTCTGCATGGTTTTTTTAAGCTTCCCAGCCTAGCCAGCAGTGCTGAGTTTCCTAAATGTCTCCAATCCAAGTACTAACCGTAGGGATGACCGTTTCTCACTCTACTCTGCTCGCTCTTCTGCAAGTTTTAGAACCAAGTCTGGATTTGCAACCAGCCTCCCTTGGAAGAAGTTTTAGGCCTCAACACTGTTTGTGTTTCTGGCAAAAGCTCCAGGAGAGGGGAAAAAGGGGCCCAACTCTTTTGATTGGCAGACTATAACCATCCCTTGATCATTTTAAGCCTGTTCTTGATTTGTATTGCATGCTAACTCAAGGGGTTTCCACGTGATACTTCTTACCAAGAGAGCCAACACCATCTTTTCTTATTGTCATGCTTTCATTCAGACACTTTCATTCATTCAGATCCATCCTCCCACCTGTATTAACTAATGCAATTGGAGGTGCATTGTCTCAAAGAGCCTTGGGTTCAAAAGCATTCTCAACCACGATGGTCACAAGATAGACCTCAGCATATCACTATTTCACAGACTTTTTAAATGAAATTGAGCTACTTTTGATATATAGCCCGAGCCGCCTCCTCCTCAATTGATTTCCTTCAGATGTATAAGATTACAATTACCATTCTCCTTAACTAATTTGGTATTGAATATACTAATCGGAAAGGATTTGCCTTCTGGGTCCCAAACATCAGAGGGCGTCAGAACAGCGAAGACATTTCCCCCAGACTAAAGTGAAATAGCAAAAGAACCAACCCTTAGATTTGTATCTTTCAGAGAAGAAGAAAAAATCTTCCAAATCCAAGCATAATTAAAATAAAACTGTACAAAGAAAACAAGACTGAAAATTAGATCAGACTCTGAAACCCAGACAAGTGTGTCATCTCCAGCAACCCTAAAGGAGAAATACAGAGATCTGGAGATGAAGCACAATGCTGCTGAGTGCCTGGATCTGCCTTAAGCACAGGAGAACCCTCTTTTGTGAAAAGTCCAGCACCAGCTCTATGGACTTGATGCCTCAACCAAAATCAGTTTTGTGTCCCCTCAGTGGAATTGTTGCCAGATAGCGGGTATGGTTGTATTTCGTCTGAAGATGTAATGAGATTATGGATGCCTAAACCAGCAGCAGCACTGTAGATTAGCAATTTCCACTGCTATTGTTTCATCATCTGAACACAGCAGGCTGCAAAAGCGATGTTTTGTGGATCAGTGATGCCTTCTAGCCATTTATGAACTGTGATACATTTGGTAGCAGCTGAAGAGGCAGCAAGAGAAAGGTTTAACCTGACCAGAGCAGCTTCTCTGGTTGTTGAATTGGTTGGTTCAACAAGAGTCATGAAGAAGGCCAGACAAGGAATAATGGATGGAAACTGAACAAGGAGAGATTCAACCTGGAAATAAGGAGGAATTTTCTGACACTGAGAACAATCAACCAAAGGAACAGAAGTTGCCTTCAGAAGTTGTGGGAACTTCATCACTTGGAGGCTTTCAAGAAGAGGCTGGACTGCCACCTGTCAGAAATGGTGTAGGGTCTCCCGCTTGGGCGGGGGTGGGGTTGGACTAGATGATCTACAAGGTCTCTTCCAACTCTGTTAATTTTAATCTGTTAAATCCACTAATGGAGACCTTAAGTGCCGCATCATCATCTGAAAGATTTGTGAAACAAAAGTTCCAACTCATGCAAGGATGACCGATTTGAATAAAGGTTTATGAAAATTCAATCAGGTAGCCTTCAGTTCAGGGGTCTCCCAACTTGGCAACTTAAAAGAATGTGGATTTCACCTCCCAGAATTCTCCAACCAACATGAAGTCCACAAGTCTTTATGTTGCCAAGTTGGGAGACCCCTGCTTTAGGTCAGTGATGGTAAACCCGTGACACGCATCAACGGTAATATACCATTATACTCTGGGTGGCATAACTGCATTCACCAACACCCAACAACAACTATCACCTGAGGGGCCTCCAGGAATGGTGTGAGCAGCCTTTTTGAACAGCATTAGCGGTGGAGTTGAGACTGAAGTTTTACTTTATCAAGGAAACAAGTTGTACTTTTTTCTGATTGAGTAAGAAATAATATGATCTTTAAAAATGTTATTAATTTATTGTACTCCAGTATTATGAATGCGGGGGGGGGGGGGGAGAGAGAAGGAAGGAAAGATGGTCCATAATTGACCTTTGGTCAACATTTTTCTAAAATCATAGTTGGAATGATGGAGAAACCCCTGCTGAGTGAGAGGGACCAAACATCCACTTATGTGTTTCCAATTGTTTAAATACTGGAAATCAATCATTCTGATTGTTCTAGACTCCGTCCTTACTCTATTTACATCTGGAAGGACAGAGCTAAACAGGGATCCTCCAGCAGAAGGAACAGAATGAGGAAATAAATTAATGAAACAACATGGAATTAATAGAAGTGAAGGGAATGCTTTAGAAATTTTTATGGGAATTATACTGTTAAGAATGGAACTAAAGCTCTAAATCTTAATATCAATGGAATTGTGCCATATCTGAATTTTGAGCTTTTATCTAAATTTCTCTTATGTTAGTCACAGTATTCTCTGAATATATTTGCTCACTATTTGTTACTTTTTCTTCTTCTTACTAATTCTATGATAACAAAGTTTAATAGGCTTGTTTGACTAGAAATTGGGCACAGAACCTGTACTCTTAATTGCCCTGGATTTGCAATCTATCATTATTTAAACTGGCCCTTTTCCAACTATTGTAATAATAACCAGTATAATCTCTGGGACCACTTTTAAATGTGTTTTTGTTATTAGAATTATACCTCTTCTTTATGACAATTATAATACATAATATGTAAGAATTAATAAAAGCAAAAGAGAAAAACACCGTGTGAAGGCTGCATCTGCATCTAGTGATTGGAAAAGAGTGAATGCAAAAACCAGAGGGAAAGGAATTTATTAAAGGTGCCTGGGTAAATGTTGGCAGAATTCTGACCAAAAGTTCATTGTGAGCAAAACTTGCCCGGGGGCTTTTACTGGCTGCCAGCTGGGGGCATGGAGATTCCTTCGGAGCAATGCCCATGGAGTCAAGAAGGGGGAGAAATGGGGGCTCCACCGAGGGGGCAAGAGGGGGCAGATCCAGGGTCAAACGTGGAAAGCAGCGTCAAGGGGTGGGGGCTTCTCCAGGCAGAGGAAACAGAGCCCTGGGAAAGTCCAAAGGGAGGCTGCTTTTCCAACCCCTCCATTTCTCCCCTGCTCTCTGCCACGAATGAATGAATCTTGGCCAGAGGACGCTGTTTCCCAGGAAGCTCCCCAGGGCATCCCCAGGGAGAGGCAAGAGGAGCTGCTGCTGGGAGGGCCCTCAAGAGGCAGGAGCCGGGCCTCAAGGGGAAGCCCTGCTGGAGAGCAGAAGGGGCACTGGAGGCAGAGGGGGGGGGCAGCCTGCGATGGAGAAGGAGTGTGCAATCTGATTCTGGCAACTTTGCAGAGACACCCCTAAAGGGATGCCTCTTCCCTAAAGTGGTCTCGGACAATTCGCCATGGCCAACTCACCGTGGGGCACAAGGGTGACATAATAGAATCCTTAAAGAAAATATCAAAAAAGCCAAAGGAGGGACAAAATGAAACGGGAATGACAAACATTAACAGCGTTTTTCTAACATTATTTTAAATAATTCAATTGAACTGTTGAATTGACCCGCAGCAAGTTGACTCTGGTGAGTTGTCCCATTCTGTTTCTAAAGAGGCCTGATCTTTCAACGCAATCCATCTGGTTAACAGAATAACAGAGTTGGAAGGGATCTCGGAGGACTTCTAGTCCAGCCCCCTGCTCAAGCATATATCACTCCAGACAAATGGCTGTCCAATCTCTTCTTAAAACCCTCCAGCGATAGAGTGCCCACAACTTTTGGAGATCTCACTGAAATTTCTCCTTAATTCTAGGCTGGAGCTCTCCTTGATAGTGGCTTCTTGTCCTGCCTTCAGGTGCTTTACAGCCGGGGTCTCCAACCGTGGCCACTTTAAGTCTGGTGGATTTCAACACCCAGAATTGCCCAGCCAGCTTTGCTTAATCTCTTGTGATCCCTTCTTCTGCAATCTCTCCATTTTAGTTTAGTTCTCTTCAATTCTGGGAGTTGATGTCCACAAGCTTTGCTGGCTGGGGACTTCTGGGAGTTGAAGTCCTCCAGGCTTAAAGTTGCCACAGTTGGAGACCCCTGCTTTACAGGATAGGCTGGCCTCCTCTTCTTTGTGATAACCCCTTAGATATTGGAACACTGCGACTACGTCACGCCTAGTCATTCTTTTCATTAGAGAATAGAGAACAAGGCCAAACACAAGATTTCTAGGGTTATCCGTGAAGCCAAATGTTTGGGGAAGAAGCCCCATTCTTTCCAGGAGTCAGGAAGGACAGTCCGAAAAGAAACTCTTCTGCAAGTGAGAAGGATCCACCTTCTTTGCAAATGAGATGAACCCAACCCTATCTGGAATGCTTTCCTGCCATCTCTTGAAGAAAAACTGGTGCAACATTTTTAAAGCGGAAGCAAAAATATTTTTATTAATATATTGCCAGCAGGATTTCCCTTGGTGGCAAATTTTCTTTGTCCATGAAGGAAAAAAATGGGTTCATTTTATTATTTTTATGCAGTCCCATGAGGCAAATACCCCCACTGGGCTCTGCCCCATCCTTTAAGGCACTGCTCGGGCACTGCTGGAGGCTCAAAAGGCAGCAAGGAAGAGAACCGCCATTCTTCAGAACAATCTGGAATATGTCTTGGGGCCACAGAGAGGAGCCCTGTGGTGAGTTCAGGGTGGATTAGTAGTTTCCTACGACACAATACTTGTGACTGGCTGGGTTCATACAACAGGTTGAACTTGGTTACTGTTGTGGTTTGCCAGCAGCCTGTGCAGACGGCAGTGGAATCGGACACTGGGGAAGAACGGGGACCAGTCCAGGAGTCTGGGAAGGACTTGAATGAGGGTCCTGCATCCGATGCAGGGATGGGGCCAGGACCATCTGGAAGTTATGCACTGACTCCGGAGCCCCCAGAGTCTGGCAGCAGCGAGGCAGAGGAACAAGGGGAGCCTGTTCCCAGCACGCGTGTGTGCAGAGCTGCCAGAAGGCGAGAGCAGCTGAGACAAAAGGGGCGACTCAGGAGTAAGGCTTGCAGGAAGCAAAGTCGTTCGCTCTGTTCAGATTAAACCTTGAAACTCTGTGTGGACTTTGTACTTGTTTGGCTTTTTACAGTTAATTTGGCACTTTAGTTGCTGGCAGCAGTTCAAAGGAGAGAAAGGTGGGTGCTTATCTCGAGGGACTGTTTGGGACTCATTACAGGCTGGGAATGAACATAATGCCTAGCGCTGAAATAAAACAAGAGTTGTTTGGACTAAGCGTGTGCTTAATTACGGTCTCGGGAAGCCTTGGTTAGAACATCAGCACCCATCTGTTTTCTGTCTGCACAAAACAGACTAAAATGGAAAGTGAATAGGTAAAGTTCTTATAACATTAGACTACCAAAAATTAATGATAAAAAATAATCAAGCTCAGCAGGTTGTACAAATGCAGCTGCTGGCACCTTCCTGAACCTGTTCGGCATACGAGGCAAACCTGGCCTCCATTGTGATGGTGTTGTGTGTGTGCCTGGGGAGAAAAAAGAACGCCAGGACTCTTACCATTTCCATGATGAGATGGCCACAAATGAAGCACTTGTCTGCCGTCTGCTGAAACCCCGAATACTGTTTATATAAAAATAAAATAAAAAAGGGGGAGGGAGACAGTTAGAAGGCCTTCTCTTTCCATCCTGTTAAGTCACAAACACGTTTTCTTTTCAGCAACCAAGCAAATCTTCACGATTAACTACTAAACTGAAAATGAGACTGTGGAAGTGAGAATGGTTCTTCACGCATTACTTTCCCAACATTTTCACAATAGCACTGAAGAGGATAGAATTTTGATCCAAGCATTTCAATTTGCACTGCAAGCTTCCACTGAAACCTTTTTCACCTAGTGAAAATGAAACTGTTGCTCAAACAGAAGATACCAGTGATATTTAATGCCGAAAACTCATTTCAACATGGGCAAAACCCCAAGTGATGGTGAGAACAGCAAGTGTGAATCCTGTTTCAATTTGCCACATCAGACAAAAGGAAACCAGCATCTCTACTTTGTCACAACTGAGGGTGGAATTGTTGAATCTCTGTGCTGTTGGATGGATAGGGAAGGTATTATTTCTTAAATCTTTTCCAAATTGTTATTATTCAAATGATGATTCTACTAAAACTCTCCTCCTCCATCCTCAATTCTATCATGTTGTATTCATAATATCAGCATTTAAATTAGAGATTGCAAGTAATTTACATTTTAAAAACTAAATGTTTATTTATTTATTGACTTTATATTGCCGCCGATGGCGACCCATGGCAACTCGAGGCAGCTTACGGAATGTAAAATCATACTTTAAACAAAAAACAATATGTAAGATAAAAAGACAATATGTAAGATAATTAAATTGCCCATTTATCTGATATTGCCTTCAAAAATAGTTCCTCATCAATGTTGCCCTCACTTTGGTTAAGGTTGTGCCCTAGTGTCACTAAGCCAGAAGGAGAAGACAAGGCATGAAAGAATGACAAGGGCATCATAGAAGAAGACATGTAGGTTAAGTGCAATAAGTCAATAAAAATATTTTTATCCCAAGATTAAAAGCAAATAGATCTAACGTGGAGACAATCATTAATAAGTACATCAACAGGATGGAAATAGATCATCTTATGCAACCCAGGAACTTCTCAGTGCAACCGACAAATATTGAGGAGCAACAGGAAACATTAGGAAATCTAAAAACACGAAGAATGGCTTACTCAGTGTGACTAAATCCTCTAGGATGAAACTCATGGATGAAATGCAAGGATTGGATGTAGAACGTATTAAAAATATGTACCTGGCAAAGGCACATTAGACGAATGTAGCCAAAATATGGCTGCATCCATGTTTGGGGAAGAGAAAGGACAAAAATAGCCTGAATGAAGGAGGAATTAAATTTCATGTGAAAAAAAGGGAACACGTGCACCCAGATGCAGGAATCTGACCCTGAGGTTCCTGCAAGAAAACATGGTAAGGGAAGGAGCAAAAACAGTGTTGTGGGGATGTGGTACAAACCACCAAGTCAGGCAGAAGCTCTAGATCAGGGGTCCCCAACCACCGGTCCGCGGACCGGTCCCGGTCCGTGGAACAAGTCCTACCGGGCCGCTGGCTTGCTGGGCACTGCCATCTTTTTTTGATGAAAAAGTGCTTCCGGTGAGCTTTTCCGGGTAGAAAGCTCACCGGAAGCACTTTTTCATCAAAACAAGATGGCGGCGCCCAGCGCTTCACTTTTTCATCAAAACAAGATGGCGGCGCCCAGCTGATGTCGGTACCGGGCCGCGCCATAAAAAAGGTTGGGGATACCGGGCCGCGGCGTAAAAAAGGTTGGGGATCACTGCTCTAGATAATACTCTACTAGGTCAGATCACCTGGACAACTCTCAAGAGAACCAACTCAGCCAAGACAGCAAACAAAATCCTCAAAAATTTCATTCAAGCAGGTTAGATGATTGAAGAGGTAAAAGTTGTGGAGACCTTGACAGAAAGAGACTCATGTCTTCTTGGGGTGCAAGATCCATCAGAAAGAAGATCTGCTACACAGCTGTATATATGCACACTTGTTCAAGAAGCAAATTTAAGCAAACTTATAACAGAGGGAATCCCATGGACTGAAATCCTCATATTTAAGGGAGTCCTGGAAGACTGGAAAGTGCTTAAAATAAGGGTTACAAACAAATTGTACCCCATACCAATGTAGAATAAGGGAGCAGCTTCAGAAGCCGTTCCAATTTCAAGGGACAGAAAATGAGCATAACCACCAAGGAGGAGGAGTTGCACACAGTTTATATTTGCAGGACAAGTATGAGAAAACATAAAAAAGCTTCTGCTTGCAAGTGAAACTCAAGGATTCAAAAGTTGGTAAGATGGATAGTAACAAGCGATGGAAAGAGGGCAGAATTACTTTGCTTTAATCTTTTTTCCAAAGGGAAACTATCATCTGGTGAAAAGGATTAAAAACCCAAGGTAAATAAAGAGACGGTTAGGAGTCCCTGGCCAGCATTAATGCAAATTAGCCTTTAGAATCAGATCAAGAAAATTAGAGAAGAACAAAGGTTGTTCCTGTCTTGGGACTTCCGGTTTGCAAGCTTGCGGCGGCAGCAGGGATTCGCGACACCGCGCGATCCCTGCTGCGTTCGCCGCCAAGGTTCCCCCGATCCGTTTGGATTTGGGGGATATAGCTGCCCCGTAGAGGCAGCTGAAGACAGGGGGGATCCGGAAAGGGGTTTGGGGGTGTCGCAGACCCCCTCCCCAGCCGGCTAAACCCCCTTTTCCCGAGACGGAAGAACGGCGGTCAGCAATGGCCGCCACGAAGAAATCTGCAGCCGGACAAGCAGGTGCAGGAGGGAGAGAGTCGGAAGAATAGTGAAAGTTGCTTCTAACCGGGACAAGACTAGAAAAAGTGACCTGGAATCTTGAAGGCTGCTAAGTATGTATTGTCTCTAG